GCCTCCCCGGCGGGGACAGGGTGAGGGCTGGCGGGTGGCGAGAGGGGCTGTGCGCTGTCTCTATGTGTTTCTCCCTTTCCTTGCGCAGTGAACGGGCTCCAGGCTCGGACCTTCGGTGTGTGGACCCTGCTGTCATCGGTGATCCGCTGTCTCTGCGCCATCGACATCCGCAATAGGACGTATGTAAAGGAGCACCGGAGAAATCCGTCGGTTTGCTTGCTAGTCGCAACCTGAACAGCTAGCTTAGAGGGCAGCGCGGAGGAGGTGGGGAAGCAAAAGCTGTTCCTGAACTTGCTATAGAGTTGAAAGTGTTCCCCTAAAAAAGCTTAACTAGCAGTGCGGGATTTGTGTGTTAACTGCTGGTCCCATCTGCCTCTGTGGGGAGAACCTGCGCGTTTGAGTTCTGTTTCTTAGCTCAGGCAGAAATTGGTAGATCTGAGAACTTCTTAGGTCACAAATTTCTGAGGTCCAGCTTGGGAAGTGTCTTCTGATAGCGTTGCTGCTCTGTTGACATTAGGCAGTTGCTAATGCTGTGGTCTGACTGATGCTTGATACTTCTTTTCCTGACAGCTCAGCTAAAGACTGTGGCAGGTTGAGAGGGCCCTTGCAGCGGTCTTAACCCGCTGCCTTCTTACCTAAGCTCTTGTCTGGAGCAGAGGACAAGGCCTGAAGGTGCAGCTTGATGCTGTGGTGGGAGGCAGGCCTTCTGAGAGGGATTTCCAAGCAGGGTGACTCTGGGTCTACGCTAGACAAAGTCTGTGTTGCAAGTTGCTAGAATTCACTCTTTTGTCACCGCCTACCCCAGCCCCGCAGCAGAAGTCACTGTCCATCTGGCAGCGTGTCCTTGGATTACCTAGGCTTGTCTGTAGTAGGGAGCTGCAGGGACTCCGTTATTTGTTTTTAGGGGGTGGTGGCAATGCCACTTACCATGAAGCCAGTTGGTTCTTAGAAGGATTCTTTTATCTTGCATCTCTTGAACCTGCTCCCTTCCCACAGCTGTGACCCCTAGAGGGTAGCAGAGCACAGGTAGGAAGATGTGTTGGGTGATGCAGCCTGGTATCAGCCAAGTCCTGTCGCCCTAGTTCTCTGCTCATCCAGTTCTCACCCTCTTTTTGTTTGTGCACATGCTTCTCGCTTCCCTGGTGCCCTACCCTTGCTCTCCCCTCTTCACCTGCCTCCAGGGCAGATAATGCCTGTGACTTTCAATGCACCACTGAACACATTACCCTCTCAGCGATTACTCAGGGAGCTTTTGCACCTCACTAGGCAAGGGACCAAGTGCCCTCCGTGCTGCCACAGTGAGGACAGATGGGGCAGCATGCAGGTTTGCTTCTTTTCCACTCAGCCATGCTCGTGCCCATTCTATGGGCTGTATGATAACCTGCTTCTTTCTGCTCTCCAACAGCCTCTATTACATCACACTCTTCACCTTCTTTTTGGCCCTTGTTCACTTCCTCTCCGAGGTCTTCATTTACCACACTGCAGCCTTGACAATTGGAGTTATGGCACCCCTCATGGTAGCAAGTAAGTAGAGCTCTGCATTGTCCCCCCACAAACTCTCCTTGGAACTTTGAGCCCTACGTGAAAAACTCTATGGGGCTATAAGCTAAGGACAGGGAGGGGATGGTGAGAGGGGAATGCCTCATATCCTGTCCAGCATTTACTATGCAACTCATCCTGTGTCTCCATCACAGGTTTCTCTATCTTGGGGATGTTGATTGGCCTGCAGTACCTGGAGGTAGAAGCACTGTCACAAAACAAGAAGAAAAACTGAAGCTGAGGGCCCTGTGTAGGTCAGCATTGTCTCCTATCTTCACTGCCAAACTTCCACTAAAGCTCGGCTGAACTCCAGGACACCAGTCCCACTGGTGGATCAATGTTGGACTCTGTCAATCATTCCTCATTACCAAGTGGTTTTTTGTGTCCCAGAAACTTTTCAACGGATTGATGTCAAAGACCAAGTCCCAGAGGAGTTTGTGTCAAAGCTTGTGGGTGCAGTTGGTTACTGCCTCCCCAGAGGGTAGCAGGGAATAGCTCAGGCATGCCCAATGCACTAAGGACTGCTCTCCCAGTGTAACTGTGGGGAGGAGGTGTAGAGCTGCCCAGAATCTGCTGAACACTTCGGACCAGAAAGAGAGAATGTGTGCTGCCCCTGGCACTGCTGTGTAACTTGCATGCGTGTGTTCCTCAGGGGCCATTTCTAATAAATGACAGAAAACTGCAGGGTGCTATGTCTGTCTTTCTGCTACACAGCAACAAGTAGAAGATGTACAACCTCAGAGCAAACAGCAGTTTCTACTGTATGTTGCAGGAGAAATATTCTCTCTTTACAGTAAACCCACCTTTCCCTGACTCCTCCCCACAAAGTTCCAAGTCTGACTGTTCACATCACACACACATGCAAAGAGAGTTGTTGCAGCTCACGCTTCTGCAGCATAATAGTGATGGCAAACTGCATGCATCTGAGGACAAGGACCTTTGCAGTCAGCTGTAACTACAGAAGAGAGACAAAACAGGAACAGGTTGCTTAGACGTAGATGAAATAATGCCCAAAGCAGATGGGCAGTGCACAGAAGGTAGGGACAAACCAGCAAGATCTCCTAGCTGGGAAGATGGTACATGTGCATAAGAAAGAGGAAAAACACAGAAAGGAGGAAAAGAGGACAACAGTACCACTGGGCAGAAAGATGATTTCTTCAATTCTGCAAAACATTTCAGGCTATTAAAAAAGCCAGATGTAGACTGTTTCAACCATTTAATATGAACACATCAGGTTTCATTGCACACTTGAAATGTTTTTGTTTTATATAAAAACTCCTATCGAAAAGCCATTTTAGACCCCCATCCTCAATCCCAAACTATTAAAGATAGGACTTGAATTTTTTGTCAAGACTGTATAATTTCACCCAAAAAATGTTTTGTCAAAAATGGTATGTCAGAGAGGAGTATTTTTATTCATTCCACATGGTTGTGGTTTTTGTCCCCCCCAAAAAAGATATGTGTATAAGTGCATGATTTAAGGAGTATAAGGACACTTGATGTCTCCACCAGGGGAGGGATGCTGGAAAGGAAGGAGAAGGGATATAAGGATCTATGTGTTTATCTTCTAAACAGCAGCATACAAAGGGGCAGTGTCTACAAGACACAAATGCTGGTAAGAGGGCTGCTTCTCTTATTCTCTGTTATAAAAATGGGGAGCTTCCACACAGGAGCAAATCTGGATTCCCGTTATACTCAAACCCCTCTCTGTGGCTGTGAAGAGCAACACAGCCTTGGCCAGTTATCTCAACAGAACACTTCACAAAAGTTTTTATGTAATGTTGAAACATGCAAAAGGCACTTCATCATTAAGGAGGAAGACGCAGTTGTCAGCCCAGGGAGCTTTTTTGACTCACTCCTGTTGCTAGTGTAGTGCTGAGGCTAGGCTTAGGCTGTAGCTTCAACATAGGCTGTGGAACTAGTCCTTGCCTCCAGGTAAAAGGAGGCATATTGGTATCTGTCAATTACTCCTAATATATAGGAACATCGGGGCAACCTCAGTGAACTCTCAGCAGAGGTTTATCTGCAGACTGAGTGCTTTGTCTGCACCAGCCATGTAATAAAACCAGAGCCAGCAGCGGCAGAGGCACTGCTTTACGCTTGCTGGTGATGTGCTGAGGCCTCTGCCCTCCCGTGCAACACAGAGCATCACCGGTACCGAGGCAGAACACTTCCTCCTCCTGAGAGCCAGCTGAAAGCTGTTCCAGGGCCGCTCACACAGTCAGCGTGGTCCAGCTTTTGCATTTCATGTCACAGCTTGCCTGTGAGAGAAGACACAGCCATGTGCAGGGTGCTACCCTCATGTGCTCAGGGATAGCCTGGAACTATGGCTTTTCTCAGCATGTGTGCTTTTTCTTTTCCAAGCATACATGGTGGGACGGAGGGGAAGCAGTGGGTTTTCCCATCTTTTCCTCCCAAGCAGCAAAGTCTCCAAAACAGCAAGATGCAGAGGTATAACTGAAAAGAACAACTCCCTTCTTGCGTTGCTCTTTCACGCTCTCCACAAGCAGCTCACTGTGCTCCCGTCCTGAGGCTGTCCCCCCCTGTGCCATAGTGCGCATGTAACAGGCGTAGGTAGCAAAGATGGGAGGGAGGGGGGCTGCATCTCCCAGCTCCACCACCCTCTCCATTTCACAGCTTTGATTCCTCAAGGACAATGGGATCAGTGCAGGCTTCTGGCATCACTTTCTGCAAAGAGAAAAGACAGAGAAAAACAGTATCGTTAGGCTCCTGGGTGGCCAGACCCAGGCTTCAGAGACCAGCTGGCCAGAAGCTGGCTAATTAGCAGCTCCCTGCTAGTGTGCAGAAATCCCCAAAGAGGAATCACCATCCTCTGAGAGTGCAGCTGGTTCCCTCCTCCTCCTCCATACCCTTCTACTGCCCAGACAAGGGGCACTGGGGCAGCAGGGCAGAGCAAGGGTCCCATTTCCCTTAAGCTACTTGCTGTAGTCTTCAGCCCAGCATTAACTCACAGAAGCTGTACAGGCCCAGGTATCAGCCCCACAGCCAGCCCCCTGAAGACACAAGATCAGCCTCAAAGCGGTGAAACTGCAGGGCCAGTTCCCTGGGCAAGAAAAGAAACTGGGAACTCCTCTTTCATGCCATGGGGCAGCACAGTGTCTGTGCAAGCACCAAAAGAGGACCTGCATCCTCTGCACCGCAGGAGGCTCAGCACAGCAACTAGCTCCTCTCTGTCCTTACTCTGGCATGACTGAGGGCCTCTTCAACTCCCAGACAGATTGCTGGTTCTCATCTTCAAGTCTTTTCATCCCTACCCTGCATTCAGGGCTGACACCCACGGCCCCTGCTTCTTCCCTCTCCCCAGTTTGGACTTACGGCTGGGTACAGATAAGGCTTTCTTTGAAGTTCATTACTCATATCTTAAAGAGCCATAAGAAATAACAGGCAAATACACAAGTTTTTTTTCTGCATAAATCCTATGGAAGAATTAGTCTGATTACTTGAACCCTCCTACAATTTCTTCCCTTAACATGGAGGGACCTGTAGAGTCATTTCCCAGAGGAAAAGCAAGGACAACTGAGCCTGCTGCCCAGTTACCATCTTATCCTGGGCTGCATGAAACAGCCAAACAATTTCAGTTCAGCCTTCCTGTGTGAAGCTTGATGAGCTCCTCTGCTAAGCCCTTCTGGGGTGTGTTAGGATTAGACCCCCCAGGGGATTTCAGATACCTCTCCAAGTTTTGACTCTAATTACAGTCAGACACCACAGTTGTCACCAATTCAAAGACAGTGTGCAGACTTGTAAGGATAAATGTGGAGTCTCCCACAGCCTAGGCTCCAAGTTAACTCACTGTGGGGCAAGACTGACATCTGAGGCAGGAGTCAGAGGTGCACAGGAAAGATGTTCACATCCCCAGTGCAGCTCAAGAGAAGTCCAGGCAGCATGGAAGCAAGACATATGAAACAGTTTCATTTGTAAGCCTCTTACACAAACTGCAGGTGATAAAGTTTTGTAGAGGTCAGCAGCAATATCCCAAAGCAGAAGAGCGAGATCAGGAAAGCTTCAAAGAGATGCCTGGAAGCAAAAGCCAGGAAGTGCAAAGAGGGAACTCCGACCAGCAGAAGGGGTAGGAGAGTGCATGAAGTAGCGCCAGAGGCAGGACTAAAGGGAAAGCTGCATTTAGGCTTGGGAAACCCTACCAGAATGCATCATGGAAGCACACTGGCAACTCTGAACAGGCTCCCCAAGCACCCGTGGGGTCTGAACACCACTCACCTGTTGTGGAGCTACAGGAAGAGGTTTAGATCAGCCAGCCTGCAGCGCTCCACTGCCTTAGAAAAGGAAGGGTGCTCTCACAGCTGGGAGTCACAGTGCTGGAAGGGGGCATGCCCCAGGGGGCAAAGCCCATGGCTTTGGGATACAAGGAGAAGGCTGCTTGCCACACAGTAAGCACAGAAAGGCAGCAGGGAAGTCTGGGAAGCAGGGGATGGGGTACATACCGTTTGTGCCTACTATGCAAAATTCCAGTCGTTTGTTTTTTTTTGTTTTTTTTTTTTTTTACTGGCAGTATTCCACTAGAGATTAAACATGCTACAGCTTGCAAGGGGACTCCAGTAAGCTACTCAGGTTGGATGCTTGCCCTAATGCCCTAAGCCAGCCTCTAAGTCACACTGGCCTTGGGAGAAAAAGCAACATGCTTTTGAGTATTCCACTGAGATACACCAGATGCATCTTTGCATCCAGGCAAACATACAACCAGCAAAAAAAGGTACTTAGCTCTGATTGAGTCCTGGCTTATCCAGGACATGGTTTGAGAACACAGCACAGCTTCAGTCCTGTTTTAAACAAATCGCTTGCTGTGCCTGTACACCTACAGCAGGTCACTGGTCATCCAAAATCATGCACTCATCAGTGCTCAGCCCTGATTGTAGCATAACACTCCAGAAAAAAAGTTTTTATTTTTATTACAATTCAAAAACAAGGACAAAGTCTGAAACCACTTTACTCCCTACTCTCTGCTATCAAGAACAGGTTCTTTGCGCACACACACAAAAAAACCCCAATTTATCTACTACTATATAAGACAGGCCCAAAGTAGTCTGAAGTGCCCCGAACACACATTAATCAAATCTGCAAGTTTCAAAGAGGCCTAGCAAAGCCCAGTTTGAACGAGAAGACAGTCCTGCCATTTTGGAATCCTGCACTCTGTATGATAGCTGCTTTCTTAAAAACCCACACAAACTTAAAAGTATTTCCAAAGAAATGTTGCCTAAGACTTTTCTTGAGCAATTCACTCCCGAGTCAAAAAAACCCCATGGAATATCAGCAAAGATTGTTATTTCATAATGCAAAGAAACAATGCAGGAAGGTTTGCATGGATGCTGGAAACCAGAAGCAGATGAGCACAGGCTGTACACAGCATATACGTGAGTATAACGTGTATGATGAATCAACTGACACTACTATGAAACCTTAAGGCACAATGTTGGAATGGCTTCAGATATGCTTACAACAAAGGCAGCCCACGAAGAGACTCATTATCATGCAAAACAGGCATTTGATCCTGAGATCAAATCAAAGAGTCCTGAGACAGAAAGCTAACCCTTCTGGCGCTCTGGGAACTGAGGCAGATAGAATTGGGAGTATTGTTGGAACCACACTACGGCTTTATTAATAGAGGACAAGGTGTCCACAATGCCATTAGGCTAATTTAGTTCCCAGTA